ATTTTAGGCCAATTAATTATTCCAATCAACCAAATTCTTAGTATTTCACGGGATTACTTCTATTTATCGGAATTTTAGCACCCCGAAATTTTGCAAGTCAAATGTTTCAACTACAAAATAAAATTTATCGGGGAAATTTTTAATTTGGCCAATTTTTAAAACAAAAATTTAAAAAATTTCCCAAATTTTAAAATAGGGTCCCGAATGAACAATGTAGGCATTCCCGGCACTAAACTAACATTTCCTCTGTTCATTAGTTATGTTTTTTAGGTTTACAAATAAATTCCCTTTTGTTTTTTTTTTCACATAAAAGAATTTTAAATTTACACCAAAAAATTTGAAAAATTTAAATGTTATGCAATTTTTTTAAAATTGTTTTTAAATATCAAACACCAAAATTTGTGAATGTATATTAGACCCCCCAGTTTAGTGTTTTGAATGTGTGAGGTCGTTTTTTTTACTTTGGAAAATCGGGAAAAATTTAAAAATTTTGTAAATTTTAGCTAGTTTCAAGCCCCTTTTTCCCGTGCTTTAAAAACCCAAACAAAATCATCTCCCAATTTTTGTAAATGTCTTTCCCTTCTATCAAATGGACCCAAAAAATTGCCAAAAACCAACTATAAAAACATTTCGAAAAAACACTGGGAAAGTTGCTGTTTTTAATTTTTAAAAAAAAATGATTTTCATTTTTTTACTCTCATTAACACGTGTGCTGCCGGATCCCCGTTTTTTGTGGTGACACAAAACCCCCTAGATTTTTTTCTCTTATTAGGCCCAAAAAAACCACCACAGTTTATCAGAGTGAGCTGAGCTCATGGGGGTGGGTTACGGGTTTTTGGGCCCCCGAACTTAAAACCGTAGATCTAGGGAGGGCCCCGAAAGGGTTAACCCCCTTTTGGGTCCAAGGCCCAAAAACTGAAAATGGGTTTTCCCCCGGGTCCAAGGGTTTTTTAAAAAAAAAAATTTTTTTTTTTTTTCTTATTTAAAAAGGTTTTTGAGAATCCCTTTTTTTGAGGGTTTTAAAAAAACAAAAAGGGACGAAATTTGATGGAAAATTGACGAAAAATTTTGCTCTGCGAATTTTAAGTTTTCAGCCCATATTTAGAATCGCCGAAATTTTTTGGGGCTTTGACTCCCTTTTAGGCCAAATTATTCCAAATCAAAAAAAATCTTAGCTATTTCACTTTGTTTTATTTATTCTATCAAATTTAGCCCAAGAAATCGGCCCAAGGGCAACTGTTTTTTAACTAAAAAATAAATTTATCGGGAAAATTTTTTAATTTTGGGCCAAAATTTTTCACAAAATTTAAAATTTTCCCAAATTTTAAAATAGGGTCAGGGGGAAAAAAATGTAGGTTTTTCCCGGGCCCAAACCCAAATTTCCTCTGTTCTTTTGTTATGTTTTTAGGCTTTACAAAAAAAAATTCTTTTTTTATCTTTTTTTACATAAAGAAATTTTTTTTCACACCCAAAAAAAAGAAGAGTTACTGTTTTGCAATACTGTAAAATTGATAAATAAACATCACCATATTTTTGAATGCATATTTCACCCCCCAGCTGGGTGTATTAGACGTGGGGTCGTTTGTTTTTTTTGAATATCGGCAAAATTTTTAAAATTTCTGTACTTTGAGCTCCGTTTCAAACCATTTTCCCGTGGGTAAAAACCCAAAAAAATCATTTCTATTTCTGTAATATGTTTCCATTCTATCAAATTAGACCCAAAAAATCCCCAAATGAACTATAAAAAACATACGAAAAAAAAAAAAACTGCAAAGTCGCTTGTTTTCAAAAAAATCATGATTTCAGTTTTTTTTCCCCTCAAATTTTACCAGCGTGCTGCAGGGCCGTTTTATGTGGGGACCCCATACCCATAGATGTTTCTGTCATTCTAGGCCCCAAATTTTACCACTCACAGTTTATCAGAGTGGTGAGGCTGTGAGTAGAAACTACGGTTTTTGGGCCTGAAGTTTAAAACCCTTTGGCTTCCGGGGGACGGACCCTCAAAGGGTTAAGAGGGACATTAAAAAGGGGATAAGAAAAGCTAAAAGGGACTATGAAATTAAAGTTGCTAGGGATTCTAAAACTAACCCAAAAAGTTTTTTCCAGGTCTATAGAACAAAAGTTAGAGATAAGATAGGTCCCCTTAAAAATAACTATGGGCATCTTACTGACAAAGAGAATGAAATGTGCTCGATTTTAAATAATTATTTTCTCTCGGTTTTTACACAGGAAGACACTAACAATATTCCAGTAATTAATTTTTATAGTGGGCCAGAAGAAGATAAATTATGTAACATCACAGTCACTAGTGAAATGGTTGTGAAGCAGATAGACAGACTGAAGCAAAATAAGTCACCGGGTCCTGATGAGGTTTTTTCAAGGGTTCTTAAGGAATGCAAAATGGAACTCTGTGAACCATTAACTAATATTTTTAATTTATCTCTTCAAACAGGTGTAGTGTCTGATATGTGGAAGATGGCTAATGTAATTACTATTTTTAAAACAGGGGAGAAGTCGTTACCATCAAATTACCGCCCAATAAGCCTGACCTCAATTGTAGGCAAATTACTAGAGTCAATTATAGCTGAGATTATAAGAAGCCATCTCGATAAGCATAGCTTGATTAATGATACTCAGCATGGATTCACAAGAGGCCGGTCTTGTCTAACTAATTTATTAACTTTCTTCAGTAAAGCTTTTGAGGCTGTTGACCACGATAAAGAATTTGATATTGTTTACTTAGATTTTAGTAAGGCTTTTGATAGAGTTCTGCACCAAAGACTGTTAAAGAAAGTGGCAGCTCATGGCATTGGGGGAAGGGTGCTCTCGTGGATCAAATCATGGCTCACAGACAGGAAGCAGAGAGTGTCCATAAATGGGGTTAAATCCGAGTGGGGATCAGTAACAAGTGGCGTTCCACAGGGATCAGTCTTGGGCCCATTGTTGTTTATAATATATATCAATGATCTTGATGAGGGAATTACTAGTGATATGAGCAAATTCGCCGATGACACAAAGATAGGTAGGATAATTGATTCAAACGTAGATGTTATGGAACTTCAGGAGGATTTAGACAAACTCTATTCTTGGTCAGAAAAGTGGCAGATGCAGTTCAATGTAGATAAATGCAAGGTTCTGAAGCTCAGGAGTGTCCATAACCCTAGCACTTGTAAGTTAAATAATGTAGAACTTAGCCATACAGATTGCAAAAAGGACTTGGGGGTTATGGTAAGCAGCAACCTTAAACCAAGACAGCAGTGCCTAAGCGTACGTAATAAGGCAAATAGATTACTGGGATTTATATCAAGAAGTGTAACCAACAGAAGTCCAGAGGTCATACTGCAGCTTTATACATCATTAGTAAGGCCTCACCTAGATTATGCAGCTCAATTCTGGTCTCCATATTACAGAATGGACATAAATTCGTTAGAAAACATTCAGCGTAGGATGACTAAATTAATACATAGCATTAGAAATCTACCTTATGAAGAAAGATTGAAGACTCTTAAATTACATTCACTTGTTAGACGAAGAATGAGGGGAGACCTGATCGAAGTCTATAAGTGGAAGATAGGTATTAATAAAGGGGATATTAATAAGGTCTTGAGGATATCTCTCCAAGAGAGAACCCGCAGTAATGGATTTAAATTAGATAAGTTTAGATTTAGAAAGGACATAGGAAAGTATTGGTTTGGAAATAGGGTAGTTGATGAGTGGAACAGTCTATCTAGTTGGGTTATTGAGGCTAGGACTTTGGGTAGTTTCAAATTTAGGTTGGATAAGTACATGAGTGGGAGGGGTTGGATTTGAGTGGGACTTGCACATCAGAGCTTATTTCTTGGGTAGCATTGAAAATTGGGTTGGGCAAATGTTTTTTTAGTGGGATGAATTGTAAAGGACCTGCCTAGTATGGGCCAACAGCCTGCTGCAGTGTTCCTCCTTTCTTATGTTCTTATGTTGTCCAGAGGGCTGAGGAAGGATTGTTGAGGTGGTTCGGACATGTAGAGAGAATGGAGCGAAACAGAATGACTTCAAGAGTGTATCAGTCTGTAATGGAAGGAAGGCAGGGTAGGGGTCAGCCTAGGAAAGGTTGGAGGGAGGGGGTAAAGGAGGTTTTGTGTGCGAGGGGCTTGGACTTCCAGCAGGCATGCGTGAGCGTGTTTGATAGGAGTGAATGGAGACAAATGGTTTTTAATACTTGACGTGCTGTTGGAGTGTGAGCAATCTAACATTTATGAAGGGATTCAGTGAAACCGGCAGGCCGGACTTGAGTCCTGGAGATGGGAAGTACAGTGCCTGCACTCTGAAGGAGGGGTGTTAATGTTGCAGTTTAAAAACTGTAGTGTAAAGCACCCTTCTGGCAAGACAGTGATGGAGTGAATGATGGTGAAAGTTTTTTTTTTTTCGGGCCACCCTGCCTTGGTGGGAATCGGCCAGTGTGTTAATAAAAATTAATAATATACATATACATACTGTATAACCAAGTGTGAGAGTACTTGTGGTTGGGGATTTCAATGCTTAAGTGGGTAAAAATGTTATGGAGGGAGTAGTAGGTAAATTTGGGGTGCCAGGGGTAAATGTAAATGCGGAGCCTTTAATTGAGCTGTGTGGGAGACGGCCGACTTGTTGAAAAAAAAAAAAATGTACACACATTTATTTATTTATTTATTTTATGTTTTATGCTTTGCTACTTATAGTGCATCAATTGTGACATTTCTTTAAAGACAAACCAGTAAAGTATATGCAGGCTGTACCCAGTGTACCTTAAGCTCAGTTTATTTTAATTTATCTTGCTATTTACTATTCTATTTACTTGTTCTGATAATTTTCAAACCTTTTTCATGTTTTAAAACTTATTACAGTATATGAAATAAAGGGGCATTGTATTCTTTTGTACAGTATATTACAGACAACATCAAGAAGGCATATTCCATAAAACATTGTAGTAATATTTCTTTTGTTTGCAGTTATATTAGATCACAATGCCAAAGATACGTTTGTTTGTGGGGGGTCTGAGTGAGAAAGTTGATGAACAGTCACTTGGATCAAGGCTGACCCACTTTGGCACTGTGTCTGGCATTGACTTGAAGGAGAAAACTGATCCTGAAGGAAATGTTGTGTCAAGATTTTCCTATGTTAACATAGATGCACCTTCAGAAAAGATTGATGAGTGTAAGTACAGCATATGCTGGGAATGCTGCCTCTTAGGGTAACATAATTCATGATCTTTGAGTACATTGCTGATTTTTTCACTCTTTTGAAACTTGACACTTTTTAAATGTCATTTTATACATTGCTCTATTAGTGATGTTACATATTCCAGAAAAAATTTATTGATCTTTAACCTCTTGTATCTCATAGTGATTTCAATAAACTTTCCATATAATGGACTAGTTGGGGAAGGGGGAGCAGGTGGCCTGTAATAGCGAATGTTGTGGATAGAGTCGAGTTTCTTTGGTGGCGATTGTAACAATACTGGACAATTCTGTAACCAGCGTACTGTATTTTATTTTTTCCAAATTAATTGACTTAACGGATTTTGTTTCACATTTCCAAAGTCCCTTTTATGGAGGACCATTTTATGAAGGGTTTACTGTAATTGCAAATGTATACAGTAAACCCTTAATTTAACAGACTTTCATTTTGGAAATGCAGGACAAAATTTGTTGGCAACAGAAGTTTTTTGTTATTGTTACAGTCATTCCTAAATAATCTCATTTAACCACCACAGTTGCTGTTACAGCCATTCACTCATCCCCTTTAGTTCATTAAACTGAGTTTGTTGTATTTATCTCTCGTGTATTTATGACAGTCTTGACCCTTTATAAAAGCGTCTTGTTTAAGATATAAAGCACTTTCAGTATAGTGGAGCTGGTATCTCATACTTTGTCCTATTCAGATTATTTTTATGGAATCATTTTAAATTCATTATTGTGAAAATTGTTGGAATAACTCATGAAATCGTAATGACACGTTTGCAAACAAATCATACCACAGGCGGGGCTTGAACCTGTGGGCAGAGAGTCATAAATCTCCAGACCAACATGCTAGCCACTATGGCCAGCTGGCCTAGTGGCTAATGCATAGGTCTTGAGTTGTACAACTCTCTGACTACGGGTTCAAGCCCTGCCCGTGGTATGAAAATGAAAAATGAAAATGTTTATTTCCTTGTAAAGCTTACAATGTGCAGGTTATATGTTATAAAATATTAATTACAAAGAAGGCCACTAGCATGCCTAGGCATTTCTTACTCTATACTGATATAGGTTATGGAGCAGTACTTTTTAACATACATTATTAAATACACCTACCATCCGACTTACGACCTGCTCGACTTATGATCACTCAACTTACGACCGTGTTTTTTATGCCAAATTTCTGGGAAATGAACAACTATTTGTGCTGTACACAGTGTTTATCCTAAACCTTACAGTATAAAATACAGTACTAACAACATAAAAAGTAAAGTAAAACATGAAATACCAAAATAAAACAATAAAATAAAGTCATTACAAAAATGTTTTGTTGATATTCAGTAGTAAAGTTCGACTTTCGACCATTTCGACTTACGACTGGTTTCTCGGAACTGAACTTGGTCGTAAGTCGGATGGTAGGTGTACATGCATAAGTAGATATATATACATAATTAGATATGTACATAAATTACATTTATAATAGTGGGGCAGTACAAAACATATAACAGTGCAGTGGAGCCTCGGTTTTTTGCCCTGGTTTTCATTGAATTAGGTTTTCAACGACTTTTTTTTTTTCATCAAAATTTTGTTCCAGTTTTCGTTCGTCACCTCGGTTTTCATCCGCCGTACTGAATGTGTCCACCTGCCACGCTCACACAAAGCATTCCATGCACACGTTCTGAATCAGTCTGGCTTTGTTTCTCATTGAGTGAACATTACCTTGCGCTTTAATACGAAACATTTCATAATAATCCATTGTTTTTTGTGCTTGTTTATTGAGTGCGAATGCTAAATAAGCCACCATGGGGCCAAAGAAAGTTCTGAGAAACATGAGCTTCAGAGGAGGAGGAAGAGTGAGGGGAGCATGTGCCTTCTTCAGTGATTAAGAACATGTGTGCATAGTGGAGTGAGTTGCAAAGTTTTGTGGAGAAATATCACCCTAACAAAGCTGTTGCAAGCCATGTCTGCAACATGTTCAATGACAGTGCCTTGTCCGTTTTAGGCAAATCTTAGAGATGCCAGAAACAGACCTCTCTGGACAGTTTTTTTGTACGACAGGGGTATAGTGACTCAAGCTGGTCCTAGTGCCAGTAAAAGACAAAGAAGGAAAGTAACCCCAGATAGGGCCTTGATACCTGAAGTCCTTATGGAAGGGAATTCCCCTTCCAAGCAGTAACCTCTCCTCCCTCTCCCCTCCTCGCCGTCTTCCATATGCCAACAAGAGTCTTCAATAAAGGTAAGAGCTATGTTAAATGTTCATTAGTCCTTTATATTTATTTCTCATTGTTTTCTGTATGTAAAACTATAGTTATTCTCTATAAAATGTATTTTTTGTTAATACTTTTGCATGTCTGGAATGGATTAATTGGACTAACATTATTTCTTATGGGAAATATTGCTTCAGTTTTTGTCAAATTCAGTTTTCATCAGACTTTCTGGAACACATTAGAGATGAAAACCGAAGTTCTACTGTATTACAAATGGTAAATTTAGTAATGGGATTGGATTTGTCTTGGCTTGATACACTGTTTCTATTAACCCTTTGACTGTTTCAGTCGTATATATACGTCTTACTAGCCACCGTGTTTGACGTATATATACTCATAAATTCTAGCGGCTTCAAATCAAGCAGGAGAAAGCTGGTATGCCCACATGTGAGAGAATGGGTCTGTGTGGTCAGTGTGCACCATATAAATAAAATCCTGCAGCACCCAGTGCATAATGAGAAAAAAGAAACTGTTTTTTTTTTTTTTACCCTTTCAGGGTCAAGAGACCCTCTCCTAAACTCGTTCTCAGAGTCGAAAATTTTTCGAAAAAAAAAAAAATTTTTTCTTATGAAATAATAGAGAATCTTTTCCCGATCATAATTACACGAAAAGTATGAAATTTGATGGAAAACTTACGGAATTATGCTCTCGCGAAGTTAGCGGTCTCGACGATGTTTATGCATCGGCGATTTCGCCCACCTTGAGCCCTATTTTCGGCCAATTCTAGTGTACTAGTCGACAAAAATCATATCTATTTTGATAGAACTCCATTTTTTCTATCGAATGAGTACAAGAAACCGCCCATTTACCGATTTCAACTATCCAATAAAGTGGTCAGATATTGGCAGTTTTGCCAATTTCACACAAATTTCAGAAGATGCCGATTTCCAATTAGGGTCCAGAATAAACAAGACAGACATTCCTGGCACTAAAATAACATTTTCTCTGTTCATTAGTCTCGTCCCCAGGCCCCTCTTACATCTGTTTTGCTAACCACTTTGAATTTTTCATTCTCACAAAAAATAGAATGTTTACTGTTATGCAGACTACTGCATTAGTGTAGAAATGGTATAAATAATATCAGCACATTTGTGAAAGAATATTGGATGCTTGGCATGATTTATTTACTTTCGAACATTTCTGCTACTTTGAGCTCAATTTCAAGGTACTTTTCATTATGAAACCAATCAAAATCATCTCAATTTCTGTAATATGTGTTCCATTCTATAAAATGAGACCAGGAAAACTAAAATACAACCATAAATACCATACAAAAATACACTGCAAAGTCACTGTTTTAAACCAAAAACATGGTCGGAGTTTTTTTTTTCTCATTACGCACTGTGTGCTGCAGGATTTTTATACTGTGTACACTGACCACATAGACCCATTCTTTCATATGTAGGCCTACCAGCTTTCTCTCACTAGATTTGAAGGCGCTAGAATTTAGGCATACTAGTATGTCAATAACCCTGGTGTGTAAGCCATACTATTAGGTTGGAAACCCTGGAAGGGTTAATTAAAATGCTGACTTTGTGGTCTATTTTCTTATTGTATTTATGGTTGTATTCTCATTTTCTTGGTCTCATTTGATAGAATGGAAAACATATTATAGAAATAGAGGTGATTTTGATTGGTTTTACTATGAAAAGAACCTTCGAAATGGAGCTCAAAGCAGGGGAAATGTTTGATTTTTGCCGATGTTCAAAAGTAAACAAATGATGTCATTGTTCAATAAATGTCCAACTAGCCATTCTAATATGCAGTCATGAATTGGTTGACAGTAAATCTTCTATTTTTTGCTTGAATAAAAATTCAAAGTAGAAAGCAAGAGTAATATCAGAGGGGCCTGGAGATGTGACTGATGAACGAAGAAAATGTTATTTTAGAATCAGGAATGTCTGCATTGTTCATTCTGGACCCTATTTTGAAATTGTCATATTTTTTAATTTTCGTGAAATTGGCCAAATTGCAAATTTCTGACCATGTTATTGGGTAGTTGAAATCAGTAAATTTTCTTGTACTCAATCGATACAAAAAATGGAGCTCTAAAGAAATAGCTATGAGTTTGGTTGACTGGAACAATGGAATTCGCTGAAAATATGGCTCAAAGTGGGCGAAATCACCGATTCGTAAATATCGCCGAGGTTGTTAACTTCACGAGAGCGTAATACCGTTAGTTTTCCATCAGATTTTGTTCTTTTGGTGTCATTACCATCGGGAAAAGATTCTGCATCATTTCATGAGGTTTTTTTTTTTTTTTTTTTCGACACTAGCAGACACCTCAGGATTTGGGGTTGCGACAGTCAAGGGGTTAAAGCTCATATAATGAAAAAGTATCTTAGGCAGACTTAGGATAACTTAAGATTTAATAGGCCATATCTAACTTAGGACTAACTTAACCCTTTGACTGTTTTGGTCGTATATATACATCTTACGAGGTACCGTGTTTGACGTATATATACTCATAAATTCTAGCGACTTCAAATCAAGCAGGAGAAAGCTGGTAGGCCCACATGTGAGAGGATGGGTCTGTGTGGTCACTGTGCACCATATAAAAAAAATCCTGGAGAAAAAAAAAACTCCAACCATTTTTTTTTAATTAAAATGCTGACTTCGTGGTCTATTTTCGTATAGCATTTATGGTTGTATTCTAGTTTTCTTGGTCTCATTTGATAGAATGGAAAACATATTATAGAAATAGAGGTGA